CACGCCCCACGCAAAGGATGCATCATACGGTGAATCGTACAATTTCCACGTCATGCCAACAGAAAAACAATACATTTTAGCTAAACTGGAAAAAATCTGTGATTTGGTCGAAGACGAATACAGTTCCTTTGTGGTAATGTCCGATTGGACAAGGGAACAATTACTGGCTGCTTATTAAGTATGAAATAATAAAATATTAATTCATAGGTAACATGTATTTCGTACGTGTCTTTATTAGTTTATCGCGATTAATTTTTGTAAATTTAATAACGATAACAATCAATATCATGTAAATAATATGTAAAAATATTAAACATTTGTAATGTCTATTTAGAAATTATAAACGTATACCGTAAAATAATACATGAAAATTCAAATTTTCACAAACTTCAAAACACTACTGAATATTATCAAGATATTTTTTTACTAAAATTTTTCTTAAATTCTACTCTACAAAATAGCTATCTTAGATTTTTTTTTACATTTTATTTAAAATTTAAAAATAAATAATATTTTTAATAAAATGTAAAAAAAATTAATTGTTGAGATATAGCTATGGACCTAACGTATAACTATTATTTAAAAAAAAAATCAGCTAAAAATATTAACTGGATCAAAAGTTATTTAAGTTGTCAGTAAGTGGTGGGCCACCCTGTATATACATCTACTGCTTGAAACGTTTACAGATGTATCCACGTTTTCATGTGCTGATGTTTCGGACTCTTTCCAGAGTCCATCTTCAGAGCGATAATTACATGCTCGTGGTTGTAACTGTTGGCATAGCTTGTTTATGGTATGTTTTTATATCAGTTAATAACTGATAACATCGATGTTGTTCATTTGTTGTTGTTTTTGTCATGTGGTTGTTGACAACTATCAGTTTGTTGTTTACATCAGGGCCGGATTTAGGGAAGGGCTGAGTGGGCTGCAGCCCAGGGGCCCCCACAAATTTGGTATACATTGGTATCACAAATATGATAATAACTGTTTTTTTATAAGTAAAAAAATATATTTCCTTGTTTATGTATAAGGGGCTCCCACATACCTAAGTCCGCCCCTAGTTTACATCCTGTTTTTGTTATTGTTTACAATATTCTTGGAATTTAGCTCTTCCTTCTATACACTGGCAATTTTCTGTTATGTTAATTGCAGTTTTTTCTCACATTAAGCTATTTTCATTGTTGTTTGTTGATTTTATATTTGCCTGGTGTATGATAGGTATCCAATTCTTGCTAATAGATCATCGAAAAATATCCAGATAATTATAACAGATGAGATGGATACCGTAAACAGCAACAAAAACAAAAACCGGATGTAAACAACAAACTATCAGTTGTCAACAACAACAAATGACACAACATCGATGTTATCAGTTATCAACTAATATAAAAACATTTTTGTAAACAAGCTAAGCCGACAGTATAGTTAAAATCACGAACATGTAACTATCGCTCTAAAGATGGACTCTGCAACGAATCCGATGCGTCAGCTCACAATTATATATTAATATGTCTAAATATATGTGGATATATGGTAAAATGTTTAGTAGGCTAGAAAAATGTAAATTGAGTGATTAGGAGAGCTTACATGTAAAAATAATGCATATAAAATCTTCATTTAGAGAAAAGTAGTGATGAGCGTTTTAAACTATCAAATATTTTTTTTATGCAAATAAATAGTTTAGTTTAAGCATACACTATCAAATTATCTATCTATTAACTATCTATCGAATTCGATAATTACTATTTAATATTTCCCATAATTACTTCAATGTCTGTCTATGAAAATATCTTAATGCTACTAAACTATGAATTTTTTCATTATACACAACTGCTAAAATTCTTGATAAATACAAAAATAATAATATTTCGAATTTAAGGAACCGATTCCAGGCCAGTGTTATTACAGGGTTAATTTTTTATGGGTCAGAGTTTATTCATACCTGTTAATTTCGTGTTTAAGAACTTTTGAATACAAGTATCAACTCTCTAAATTAAATCATTATCTTTTAAATTTTTAATGGTGTCTTAATAGTAACTATTCATTTTTCACCTATTAAAACATTATATTCTAAAATTCATATTAAAATTCTAAGGCATATCAAAATATAAAATAAATAGATGTTCGTGTTTGTTTTTTTTTTTTTTTTTGTATAAATCTAGTGTACCGGATACCCTTATTTCAATTAATTTAGTCTAATTAGGTTAGTTTTTCATGCTGATGAATAATATGTAAAAAAAATTGAGAAGCAATAAGTGATTTTTTTAAGTTTAAAATTTGGCTGTTTTTTGTTAAAATCATTTTTTGATGTCGATACAACTAACAAAAACCTCTATGATCATATATCAGGTATTGCGATATTATAACATTAGATACAACGACCTCGAATGTATTTTTGCATCAACAGAGGAAGCTTTAGCTATATCATCGATAAATCATAGAAAAGGTTTATCGATGAAATAGCTGAATACCGCTTGAATATCACCCAAGTAATGGCTAAGATAGTAACATAAAACCAAATGATCATGAATCCTTTATTTGTTCCTAGCAGTTTATACATGCTCGTTTCTAGTTATTTAAATTCTTTTCCATAATTTAAGTTGAGAAAAATAACCTTGAGATTTGAACTAGTTTAAATTACCATTTTTTTCAGTCAGCGGACGCGACGTACGGTTGCCGAGTCGGTAAAACTTGTGTCTTACGCACTTAGGGTACAAGATTCCAATCCGCGTATGGCAAGGACAATTAAAATCATTAATTTCTAATGTTTTCAAAGTATTTATTGGAGAATAAAGTTTGATATGATAATTTGATATCTACAAAATTAAATCATTTTTTTACTCTATTTGTGTTTGCTACTAGACTATAATATTCCAATTTTTTTGGTAACATGTTGTTATATAAATCATTTCTAAAAAAAAATGATTGTTAGTTTATCCTAAATTAACAATGGATTTTTAAAATTATAATCAAATTTTATAATACGCTCAATTAAGTAAATCTTTTTAACAACTTTATTTTGATTGGTTCTTTTAGTTAAAATAAATCATAAAAATTAATTAAGTTCTGAATATTTCAATTGTAGAATCTTTTTAAACACCAAAAGTTATTAGGGAATGATTACTTAAATGATTATTTAAGTTATCTATTACGATAAAAATGCAAAAAAATATTGAGCTATTCTGATAAATTTACTATAAATAGTAATTATAAAATTTCTTGACTGCAGATTAATCTTAACGATACAATTTTTGTAATTCTCATAAAATTTCCTATTTAATGATATCAATTTTAAACTTGCAAATTGAGATAAAAGTTATAGTAATAAATTTTTTTTTCTTATAAACTTTCACAAAAATCAACTTTAAAAGATTAAAAAAATAGGTTAAAAGTGTCATTTTCTATATATTTAATATATTAATAATCAAAATCAGTTTTAATTTTAAACAATTTTTTTTTTTTTTTAATTATTTTTTTATATATTAATATTTATTTTTTAATAATAAGTAATAATATTAAAACTTAGAAGTGATAGAAAAAGTCTAATTGCACATTTGAAAACATCACAAAAAGTTGATTTAGAAAAGTATATTTTTGTTTCTGATGAAAGTTCCTTGTAGTCCAGAGTATAAAACTTTGTTATAAGTAACAAACATTTTTTATTGAAAAGTATTGCATCAAGCCCTTTAAATTTTAATATGCGTTAAAAGTAAAGAAATATACAACTACATTATTATTTTTAAAATATCTCCATAAAAATTACAATATTAAATTATTAAATATCAATTTCATACTAAATTTAATAACTATAATTATTATTTATTCATATTTTATAATCATTAAAATAATAACAAACCGGAATGAAATTAAGGAAATAAGTGTTATTGTTGCTTTTGAAATAATCTACCAATTTCTTAAAATTAAACACTATCTACAGATTTGCGTCAAAGCGTTTCTTATGATAGTGATTTTAATCACTGACAGATATCATCTATACTTGTTCCAACTATGCCACTTCCATACTGTGCCACCGTTTTTTATTCTTAATATCATTTTAACTTCAATTGCAATATAATATTGTATTACTGAAAAATATGATCTAATCAAAATATTAATTAATAATGAAAAATATCAAGTTTTTTATCTATTTATATTTTGTATAATCTATTTATTTACACTAGGCATATGTAGAGCTATGCATATAAACTATATATGAACTTAATTTTAAAACCAGTATAATATATATTAGTATAGAGAGAGAGGAAGATAGATGCTGAATATTTAAATTTATAACTAGTAATAAAATTAGTTACATATATGTAATTATTAGAAATAAGATTTTCTTTAATTTTTTAATATTATGTTTATAATTACTACTTGTTAGAATTTGTTATACATAAAAAATAGACAAATTCACTCATATGATAAAACTAACCTATTTGACACATAATAATTATTAGAAATTAGAAATTTGTCACGTTTTTGATAAATAATGGTTTAGTGTACGAATACATTGGCATAAATGAGCCTAGCACCACATTACTTAGATGGATTAAACAAGAAAATACTTTACAAGCAATGTTATGCAAGGTAGGATAAAAAAAATATATTTTTTTGTATCCCTAAAATAATTCAATAATAATTTACTTATTAAAAAAAAATTAACCTTCAAATTGACTTTTGAAAACTTAACATAAAAAAAATGTTTAAATATAGAATAACTGTGTGGTAACATGGAAGAATTTTATCACATCTCAGCCTTTCTTATTAGTTGTCTGTATGATTTGAAAATAAAATATCATTTTGAATTATTTAGGATCTTAATAACCAAATTTGTTATTTCATATATTATATACGCAAATGTACTGTACGTACTTTTCAATAAGCAAAATATAAAGTACATAAAAATAAATTAAAAAAATATTAAATATGTCAAGATATAACCAAGATTTTTGTATAGCTAAATTATTTTTAAGATTTGTGAAATAAAACATACTAAATAAGTTCAAAATAAAAACACTAGATTTTTTTTTGTTTTTAATGTTTTATATTTGTCATTTTTTAAAATCATAATTATTCTTGCATCAGTTTTTCCTTCTGTCTAGCTAACTTCTTTTTGGATACTTTCTTCTTTTCAGCCTCATCCTTGGGCACTTTAGCAACAAACTTTTGTTTTTCAGCTAAGATAACTTCAATATGACAAGGTGAACTCATGTAAGCTATAATAGAAAATTTAAATAATACAGATCAATTAAAGTAGTAATAAATTTAAACATTACGACCATTTCATATTTTAGATTTAAATATTACAGATCAGGGCTAAGAGGAATCATTTAATATTTTGATGTTACTAAATCTGAGCAGATAGGCTAAAAAGCGATTTTAATATTGTATTGATGTTTTTAATAATCAAAAAGTTAAATGGATACACATAAAATATAACACTATCTATTTAACCAATACCAGACATATATTATTTAAATTAATATTTAATAAGAAATAATTAATCAGGAAGTTTATTGTAAACAGTAAAATTAAAAATATATATCTAGTACTGACACATAATTAATAGGTAAAAAATAAATGCAACTTAAATAAAATTAATAATTTTTGCCATAGTCAGGGTAGCTAATGGGGTTGCTGCAAGTCTAAACTCCTTAAGTAATTGCTATAACCGAAATTATTTAGTAAAAATGGTACTTCAAATAAATTTTGAATATAAGGAAAAATTTTTATACTATAAAATAATAAAACTTCTTCAGCTCTCCCTGAAAATTTTACCAACTGGCTACTGCATGTAGTTATTGAATGACTATAAATTGTATTAATACCATAATTATTGAAAAAATAATTAAATTAAATTTTTCCATACAATCAAGTCAGAAAAATAATTAGTCGTAGCATACTTTAAATGCAAAAGCGCCATATATGTTTGACAATTAGGTATACTCAAATATTATTTTTTTATCTTTTTCAAATTTGAAAGCTAATTTTATGAATTTTTGTTTTAATATAAATGCTAAAAATAAAGTAACACATAATATAAATCTTAAAGAAGGTTGAAAATTAAAATAATTCATCTTAATATAAAATTTATATAAAACAGTACTGTAAGAATAAAAGGAACACACTTCAGCAATAATTAAAATTAGCAAAAGTATACCACTAATCTAAAAAATTGAAATAACTTATTTCAAACATTAAACTAAAAATTACAATAAAAAAAAGAAAAACTAATGTAAATATAGTAATTATCTCAATAACAATTGTTGAAGGAAATTACTTCTCATTAAGTTATTGTGCTTATTGCCTAAAAGTAGCTGAAGTTTATCATAATTTAAAAAACTAGTATGTAACGTTAAGAGGAAAAATATTCAATTCAAACTTTTAAATAACCAGTTAAACAATAGTTAAAATATGTAATATTTCAGGAAAATTATTTTATATGAATTTAACATTTTATATTACTAACAAAAATACATCAAGAGTTAATATCAAAATAAGTATATGAAATAAAATAATGGATGGTAAGATAACTAATTTAATTTAATGAAGCCAATCAAAAAAAAAAATATATATATATATATAATTTGATTTGTTTCTCATGAGACACAGACACAGAAATTGTATATTTTCAATATTATTAAAGTTATTTTCATTATAATTTATGCAATTACTTATTTAAATAAATCATAACTATAATATGTACATCACAATATAAAAATTGTTTTTTCTTTTTAAATTCACAGGTTAACAAAAGTAAAAAAACATTAAATTATTATTTTGACATAAATTTTTCAGTTTGTCAATTAAAGGGCTAAAGCCTAGCTGCCAAAGATTAAAATTTAATAAAAATAAAAACGACACAATTCTCACATAAGTAAAATTAAAACATAGCACACAGACAAATAACCGAATCATTATCTACATTAATGAATCATTTTATTTTCTATAACTTACGGTTAATTCGACCATGAGCTCTGTAAGTACGTCTCCTCAAACAAGGAGCACGGTTTACTTGAATGTGTTCAACAAACAATCTATCAACATCCAAACCTTTAAGATCAGCATTAGATTCTGCATTTCTCAAAAGTTGCAACAAAAATTCAGCAGATTTTTCTGGCCAACGACCCTGAGTCATGCCCCATTGCTTAGCCTTAAAAATAATTTCTTATTAGACATGGTTCAATAATATATATTACACAAAACTAGTAAACATACTTGGGCACAACGTCCTACTCCACCATTGAATCTTCTGAAAGGTACACATTCCTTCTTTTCTTTGACATTTTTTAAAAATTGTACAGCACGACGAAGAGGCATTTTCTTGATAGTCTTAGCTGTCTCTCGGGTATTCTATGATTAAATTTTGATTCATTTACAGTAAAATAATTAACTTATACAATAAATAAACATACCTTAAAGTGAACCCTTAAATTAGAACCTCTGGCCTTACACGACTTGGTTGCATTTTTCGGTTCCTTAGCATACTTACCCATGGTTGGGCCTATACAAAAACAATACAAAAATTATTAAACTTGAAAATTTACCGGAATTATAGAGCAATAAATAAAATTATAGTTAAATATATTAGTAACGTTGAAGTAAAAATAATAAAAATTATAATATTTATATGGATGGAAATGGATAAATATTACATGCTTACCTTAAAAATTAAAGAAATTAAAAGAACTAACGATTAGAACGTTCAACGAAAAGTTCTGTTTGTTTTGCGGACGAGACATACTATAGACAAATTGAGGTTATCATCAGTACAGCCAATCTAAACAAAAAAAATTGTGTAAATGAGGAAAAATAAGTTTTGTATATACTGTAAGAAGATTTAAAAAGTTATGTGTTGATTTTAAAATTAATTAAGGATAATAAAATCCCGTTTCAAATAATATGAAAGTTATCATATTAACAAATTGTTTTTAGCTAATTTATCATTAAATTAATATTGAGATGTCTTTTCATAAAAAAATATTTTGATGTTGGCTTTTCTATTAGATTATATATCATACAATAGTTAAGAAAATTATGTTGGATAACATGTAAATTAAGAGATCTCAACATATTTACTCATAGCGACGAGCCGATTATAGATAACAAAAAAACTAATAACTGATTAGCTTCTTAAGCTTTATACTCAAAATTACTATGGTTTAAAATTTGCAAGAGTAGTTCATATTCAGGTTAGAAATTCAATTTAATATATTAAATACAGTAGTAGCTATCTAAGATTGATATTTCAATGTGAAGTTCCAAAATTCCTTTTTTTTTTTAACTTAGATTTAATTTAAATTGATTAAATTTATTATTTATTTATTAATTAATGTACTTTTTTAACTCATTAATTATTGCATTTATCTAAAAAAAGTTGTTTATTATAGAGACTATAGACGGTGATAGTCTATCAGTTCCATTATACATTTAGTTAAAATGTCTAAGAATAAGTTAAATTTAACTTTACCGCCTGGTGTAACAGACAACCCACAGCCAGTGTCTCCGTCTGCTCCATTGTCAGCAGCTTCAGATGCAGGGTAATTAGATTATTTTTTTATTTACTCCAAAAATTTATATATTTTATTTACTTACAGATGTGATAAGTTAAGTGTTGTAAGTTTACAAGAACAATTAGATCGCGTTGGGATGGACGATGAACAACGTAAACGAATGGAACTGTTTTTATGTCAAAAAGAAAAAATTGGTGGAGAATTAAGTGATGCTGATTTTGAGAAAATGAAAGATGGAGAATTAGGTGCTGGAAATGGAGGAGTAGTGATGAAAGTTAAACATAAATCAAGTGGATTGATAATGGCAAGAAAAGTAAATACACAACCATGATTATTTTTTCTTAGTTTTAATATCAATACATGTTTCTAGTTAATTCATCTAGAAGTAAAACCTGCTATAAAAAAACAAATTATTAGAGAACTCAAAATTTTGCATGAATGTAACCATGCACATATTGTTGGATTTTATGGAGCATTTTATAGGTAATTTTTAAATTTAAAATTAGTTTTTTGAATGATTTAATATGAAATTGAATAAAACTCCAAATAACTTTAGTGATGGTGAAATCAGCATATGCATGGAATATATGGATGGTGGTTCCCTAGATCTCATTTTACAAAAGACTCGAATACCAGAGCCAATACTTGGGACCATCACAGCAGCTGTTAGTATTTTTATTATTATTATTTTTTTAATTTTTTGTATTGATTATTAATATCTTACCAATAATTTTAATGTTCAGGTTGTTAAAGGACTTATATATTTGAGGGAACAACATTCAATTATTCATAGAGATGTTAAACCTAGTAATATTTTAGTAAATAGTGCTGGAGAAATCAAAATATGTGATTTTGGAGTATCTGGACAATTAATTGATTCAATGGCTAATTCATTTGTTGGAACCAGATCATATATGTCTGTAAGTAATACTAAAAAAAAAATAATTATGTTCCATTGTATTAACTTAAATAATAAATTAAGCCTGAAAGACTCCAAGGAACACAATATACGTTACAAAGTGATATTTGGTCTTTGGGTTTATCGTTAGTTGAAATGGCGATTGGTATGTATCCAATACCTGCACCTGATGCTAAGACATTGGCTTCTATATTTGGTCCTAGATCACAAACATCTGAAACATTGGAAAACTCAGAGGGTGACGTGTTTGGTAATTTTATAAGTTTTTAAAAACTTAAATGATAAAAAAAAATGTTTAAAATGTATTTTGTAAAATTTTCTAGCAAATGGTAATGGACCTAGACCTATGGCTATTTTTGAACTTCTTGACTACATTGTTAATGAACCACCACCAACTCTACCAGCCGGTATTTTTACTGATGCATTTAAAGATTTTGTTGATAGATGTTTAAAAAAAAATCCAAATGAAAGAGGAGATTTTAAAATGCTTATGGTATGGTACTTTTATTGTGTTTCTGTAATTGTAAAGTAAGTTAATGCATTTTAATATTTTAGGACCATAAATGGATTAGAAAAGCTGAAAGTGAACCAGTTGACATTGCTGGATGGGTTTGTAAAATTAAAGGATTAACTCCAACTACTCCTACAAGGATGGCATCCAACTCTGCCTCATGAGTCTGCTCACTGCTCCTAATACAACGGCTCACTGCTGCAGACTCCTATGTAGACAGAAATGTCTAGAGAGATGCACCTCCCAAGCTTTATCATATAATCGCTTTTGCCAAGTTATTTTATTATAATTCATTTTAATATAGCAAATAAATAAAGTGTAAATTACAAGTTTTAAATTTTATTCTGATTAAATTAAGAAATTTTAGAGACTTCTCAAATTAATTTATGGGTGTAATTCTTATTTAATTTTTTTTTTTTAAAGTTAATGTGTGATTGCAAATTTTTAATACAAGCGTGATATTATTAAAAATTAATTAGGGTTTTTCTACTGTTCTATTATTCTATTCCCTCTTAAAATATCAATTTGATCATTAGTACAATACTTATTACATTTTCATATTTAAATTTTTTTTTTTAAATTCTTAACCCAAAATGTATATAAAAAAGATTCTATTTCATAAATTTTTTCTATTACATTTTTTTCTTATTTTTTTATTTTACTATCTATAAAAATGTTAACTACATTTTAATAGAAGTTAATTTATTTTTATTTTTAATTGTGTTGTTTTAGTTGGTAGTTTTTATTTATACTAATCATCTATTTGATGAATAATCCTATTTTTCTAAATAATTTGTTATTACATGTTTTTATCTTAAGTTTACTTTATTTATTATTTGTTCTTGCTACTGTTTTAGGAGGAACAAATAAACATACTGTATGGTTTAATTAATTTTGTTAAAAATATTTTAAAATAATAATGTTCATATAAATCTTCATTTTGATTTAGTTACGCCTATATTAAACTTGTGTTTACTATAGTTAATACCACAATTTCATTTCATTGTGCAATAACTCCCTATCTTATAATACGAAACTGATAATTTTTGTGAATGAACTAATTGTTATCTGTTTTTTATATTTTATTAAATTTATTTAATTACATATAAGTAGTATAACTTATAATATAAATGACATTGAGTGTCTTGGCATATCATTAGGCTAGTGGGAGCCTTAGTAGCAGGAGCAGCAAAACTTTGTATTACTAAATTATGACATGTTAGTGTCAACTAAATATCCTAACAGTTTATTTGTCATTTATTTATTCATAAATAATAATAATAATTATTATTAGTATTCATGAAATGCTGTATTATAGAAAAATTTTAAATAAAAAAATTTAAATTTGAAACAGGTTTATTTTATTCTTTCATTCTTTTAATTTTTTTTCAATGACTATTCTTAAAAATGTAATTTTTACAAATGTGTAAATACTTATTTACTTATAAATATATGACACAGTACCGTGTTTCTCTCAGCCACACATCACGTTATCAATCTATATGAAAGTGTATTGGGTTCTGAATTATAAGCCTAGTGGTAAGGTTTATGTCTATGATGATTTGGTCCCTTATTCTAATCCTATATAATCCATTTGAATTCCTATGGATTGACCAGAATTAGCCAATTGTATCAAAAATAATAATCGATTAATTCATATCTTATAACCAATCAAATTAACATAATTTTATTAATATTTTTTAAATTAATTATGTTTAATATTAATTAATATATTATAAACTTCTTAGATGCATTTTATACGGACTATAATTATGATTGATGCCAAACATTATTATCAATGAATTATTTTAAAATGATCATAAAAACAATTTTATAAATTAATTTTATTAAATTTTCATGTTTATTAGAAATTTCTGATGGCTTAAAAAATTTCTAACTTACAACACTACTCAGTCGCTTAATCATTTGTTTTGAAATTCTTAAAATATCAAAATTGAGATTTTTAAAATAAAAAAGCGTTAAAACCACACATGTGTATTGATTATTAATTGTTTAATACTTTCTTTTATATACAGGTGTACCAAAATGTGACAAATCCATATACTATTCTTATAGTAAATTGTAAGATCATCGTGGGACACTCTAATTAAATATTAGCTTCGATGCGAAGCTGAGAAGGTATTGGTTTTACTATGATGTTTTTTTTTTTTTCTGTGTCTGTTACCACTTTTTCTCAGCTCTCACCGAACGGATTTCTTTCAACGATACGTCAAAAGATCAAAAATCTTATCTAGTCAAAGACATTACCCTTCAATATTGAAAAAAAATCCCTCGTTCCCCGTAAATGGGGGAAACCTCCAAANACATTACCCTTCAAAATTGAAAAAATTTCCCTCGTTCCCCGTAAATGGGGGAAACCTCCAAAAAAATTACAAATTTAAAAATCGCTAATTTTCGAAATTTTTTCAATTTTTTTTACTTAAAACTGCCGTAACTTTTTCAAAAATGAACATATGAATATAATTTTTTTTTTTATAGATGCTTGATGTCTTTACCTATCATTTGGTATATTTTTTTTGTAAATTTCACCTTTTTTCTGCCCTCAGAGAGAATTTAAAATGACAACTTTTTCACAAAAAATTAACTTTTTCAACTTAACTTTTGAAAATGTTCCGGAAGGTCTAACACTTTTATATATATCTTAAATTAAAGCTAATGTAATGTACTTTAATTTGAAAAAAAAAAATTTGACCACTGGATTTGTCTTCATGGTAAAAACGGCTACCGAATGC